TAATTAATTGAGAATTAATTATTATTATTTAAATAATGTGATTATTTAAATTTGAATTTGAACACATCTAGATTTATCCATTTAAACTTATTTGATAAGTTGTTCAATTTAGAATTCAAATTAATTTAAGTTTGACTTAAATTCGAATTTGAATTTGAAATAAAATTGGACTACAGGATAAATGATGATTTTCTCTTCCTTCCCTATCCAGTATTGGCGCCACACACAGGGATAGGAATCCCTAGCATGGGCGGCCTCAAGGGATAAGGGATATAGGAGAATTTTGGTTCGAAATTCAAATTGGAGATAAAGATTTGATTCCTTCTAAAAGTTTGACTTCTACTCTATAAATAAGAGAATAGTAGAAAATTGTGGACACAATTTTTTGTGACAATTTTTTAGACAATTTTCGGAATTAATTTTTGTCATAAATTTAGAGGTGGCTGAAATTCCCTAATAGAGAGAAGGACAAATTTTTCTCTAAAAAATTCCACATCGTGCATGCATTGGTGTTTGTGGAAATTCGAGTGTTTATTGTAACCCATTTTGTCTCATGTGTGCCCACACACACGTCTTCGTGGATTCTAGGAATTAACGTGGAAGACATTAGTTTTCTAAACACAAAGATTGGAGCAAGGACTGTTCGTGGTCAAAGAACTCAAGTTATCATTTGAGTCGACTTCCAGGTATTTTTCTGATTGAGTTCTTAATAAATGAATTAATGAGATTAATTTATTCGTGCATAAATTAATATAATCTATAGAGTATCTCAAAGTTTTTATGAAAATTTTTGTTATACACGATCCGCCTCTTTCCCGACAATTTCGTCTTTAGTCACCGGAAGAGTTCAAGCGGGCAATTTCGTCTTTCCACCAACAATCTGGGTCACGTGGGCTTCTCCAATTAGCTATTGGACGGATCTTGATGGAACGGACCAAATTGCACATGTTTTAAATGGTTGGGGGTTGATTTGCCAAAAAAAAATGTTGGGGACCAAACTGTCACTTACTAAATAGGTTGGGGACCATTTGTGCTAATAACCCGAAAAGAAAAATATATGATATTTTTTCAGTAGGTTTCCCAAGCGATAGTGTCCGTGTATGACTGTTGATTCTGATTAAAATTACATCATATTAAAAAAAGTATACATAACATACAGTTTCTGATACATATATGACGGCTAAAAAATAAAGAACTATTGACGGTTTATTTTTTTTAGTTCTACTAGAGAAACTTTCAAAATTATAAAATTATATAAATTTCATATACTTTATATTTTAATATGCTTTTGACTAAATATAATGTACACTATTCTACCACAATAATTTCCTTTCACAACATAGTGTCCAAAAACCTCAATTCCTCACACTTTAAGGAATTTTTATGGTAGGAATTGATGTTTTATCTTGTCCGTAGCCATTGAATTAGTTTTCAATAGTTTGATATGTAAGTGTACATTAAAACCTTATAGCATGCTATACAAAATTGCTCATACTCACAATCATATCGTTGAAAAACTATTCCAACAATTGAGTGTGTTTGATTAGAGGGAGAGAGAGTTCAAATTTCTTATTTGGTTGGAAGGAGAGGGGAAGAGAGAGGAGAGGTGGAGGAGGACTCAATCCACCCAGGCCTATCATTTTGCATCATTATACTTATGAAGAGATCCATATAATTCACCTTTTAAAGATTTGAAAACGCAATTTTATCATTCAAAAACTTTATTTGAATTTGATAAAAAGGGACAATTTAGTAATTATATATATTACTTAATTCATTCTTTTGACTCTCTCTCCCTTCTATTAAACAACATAAAAGATTATTATAATCCTCTCAATCTCTCACATTTCTCATCCCTCTAATTCTCTCAATCATTTCTACTCTCTATCACTCTTACCAAACGAAGGCTAAAACAACAGTACCAACTAGTAGGATAAAATATCAATTTTCTTTCCCCCACTTTTTTTTCCACTAATAAATATTAAACGGTACGTTTTAATTAAGAGAGTGAATTTGAATATCACTTTTACCGTACCATCATGAAATTAACCCTAATAAATTTTAGTCTCATTCGTTTTGCGAATTTGAGTTTAGATGTAGTATTTTTTAAAAAATTTTTAATTATAATAAAAAAAATTTAGATATGATATTTTTTAAGAATTTTTTAATTCTAAAAATATAAATCTGAAAACTGGAATTTCACGACTCTAAGGGGCTGTTTGGCAGCCTCATTCTTGAGTTAAAAACTCAAAAAAAGTAACTCGAGTTACAATTTTATTCAAGTTCATGTTCTTTTAAGTTTGAAATCGAGTTTGGAACTAAAACTCGAGTTCAAGTTTTCCCTTCAACTTGAGTTCAGAAACTCGAACTCAAATTAATTAACATTATTTTTTTATATTCTTAAAAATGTTATAACTTTTTCGTTTTAATTCTGATTGGGATAATTTTTTTTTCTATGCGTTGACAACAAAAAGACGAATAAAACTCCACTTATATACCATATTAAAATTTTCTATCAGCATTGAGTTTTTATTAAAATATTATCTAAATATAAATTTAAGTTTTGACTCATTCAAACACACAAACTCAAAAAGATTCTTATTTCAAACCATAACTCAAATATACACAACCAAACATAAACTCAAATTATAACTTTAACTCAAGTTATAACTCAAATTTAACTCAAAATGTACACTCAAATTACCTAACTCAAAAAGGACAAAGAACAGCCCCTAAGCTTAACCCCAATCTAGGTAAAACAATTGATTTACGCGGGAAGAAACCCCAAAAGTCGCGTTTTATCACACTACCATTCCCCTCTCTCTCTTCTCCGTCTTTCACTCTCACTCTTCTTCGTCTTCCTTTTCCTTCTCTTCGCTTCTCCGAGAATCCTGGCCAGCGAGGCAGAGAGAGCCATGGCCGTAGGTCGTCGCACGTGTGATGAACCGTCGGCGAGCGACTCCGACGGAGGAGAAGCCAAATCGCAGCCGCCGGAGAAGAAAGCGGACGTCGTCGTGGTCTCCGACGACGGAGAACGCGGCGAAGAGGATCGTCTGAAAGCGGAGGTCAAGGAGTTGCGCGGACGATGGGAACTAGCGTCGGTTCTCAATTTCCTGACCGTACGAGCGTCCATTTCTCTGTTTACGTCATATTTTCTGGATTGTTGTCGTATGAGTTTTGGTGGAGTCTGTGTAAAGGTTCAGAGATCATGGAAACTCAAAGCTGTTGCTTTTGCGATGATGTGTTTTCAGGTTTTCCAGCCTGTAATCGGGAAAGATTTGAGGATATCGGCGGAAGAAATCGAGACGGGTTTGGTGAATCCCGATAATTCGCTTGCTCAGCTCCACATTACGCTCCTCAAGGTTTTAGATTGTTTTATTTCGCGGATGTCTTTTTTTATTTTTTGAAAAAAGAAAAAAAAATCTTCTTTCACTACTTGGAGTACTTTGCTGGTAATAATGGTTTGGTTGATCATGTATTTGCTTTGCAAATTGTTTGGCTAAATCTGGGTAACTGAAATTGCTAGAATTTAGCTTGTTGCTCAGTTGTGGAATTTTATATTTGTTTTGCATTTTAAGGTTCATGGGTTGTATATTAGTATCTTTTTGTACCTTTTTAGGGATTATACACGTATATATATTATATATATATATATATATATATATATGTATAACTTGAATTTTGAATAGGGGATACCTCCTGCAAGTAAAACACTGGATGGTTCTGATGCGTGGGTAACTGTGCTTCGTAGGAAACTCTCTCATTGGTGGTCGTGGGTAAGTCACTGTAACAAAGATTTGTTATAAAAAAACCCCATTAATAAAGATTATTATCTTCTAATTCTACGCCTTCGAATCCTTAAGTTAAACAACTTGAAACTTTTATTTGCCTGTGTTGCAGGTTGCTGAAGGGGAGATTCCGCTCATGGCAGCTAAAGGGTATGAATCATGCCTTTCTCATATTTTTGTCTTGGGCATGTTTGTTTTTGTCTGATTCATCTTAGAAGAGGCCATGATGGGCTGGCTTCCTTTTTGTGTTGTTGTTTGTGCAGTGAGGAGACGTCCGAATACAAAGGGCTCGATCCAAAAAGGCGTTTACTGATCTTGAAAGCGCTTTGTGAAATCCGGGCTGATGTAATATATTCCACTTTCCTTCTCAATGTTACATCTTTTGGTTTCTGTTTAATGGCTGAGAAAAGTGCTTCTTTTGGTTTGCAGCAAGATGATACAGTGGCTTATATAAAGGATTCTCTGAAACAAGGAACCCAAATCTCTTCTTTCCGTAAAGAGAATATAGGAGGCAATGGAAATGGAACTTCCTTTTGGTAATGTTTGGACATTTGTGAAATCTATACGAGTGTTACACGATGAGTCTTAATAACTTCTCACCATTTTCATGGTAGGTATGAGGGAAATACAATTATTGGTCATAGATTGTACAGGGGGGTGACTACATTTGGTACGAAAACAAAATCTCGGGGGAAAAAATGTTTAGATCCACCCAGTTTTCAGTGGGAAACTCTGGCAACTGATCTTGAGGAATTTCGTAAACTTGCGGTGAGTCAGAATTTCTCTGTTATGAAACTAGAACCCTGGTCATTTTGTTTATTGGTGGAAATGACACGATAAAAATTTCCGTTTATTACAAAACTAGAACCTGGTCATTTTGTTTCTTGATGGAAATGGCAGGATGAGTTTTCCTCGAGCGAAGTTGTAGCAGAAGTTGCTGTTGGTAAGACCATCAAAACTGATGCCATACCTGCTCTTGAGAAAATTCAGAAGGTAAACTTCTAAATTCGTTTGGAGCTATTAAGTTTTGGCTCTTTTATTAGAAAACTGTAAAGTAAAAATAAAGATTACCAGTTCTCTTCTTTTCTAGTTATTGTTACTTAATACTGATTACTGAATTTGTCGTTCTATTCCTCAGAACAGAGAAAGTGCAATGAAGAGGAAACAAATGCAAGAGAGGGTTCTGAATGATTGTAGAAGTTCCTCTACTAGAGTTACTCGATCCTGTCGCAACCGTAGGCCTGTCAACTACACTTATGGTACGCGGCATTTTTCCCCTTTTCCCCAACTTCCTATTATTTTATTGTTCTGCCTACAGTATACGGCACAGCTTCGGTGGAACTTCTTATCTGTTTACAGTCTCTCATATGACTTAACTATTGTTATGGACTTATGAATTATGATTAAATAATATATATTCCACATGAAAGAAGGTTGAGGTCTCTTATGTCCTCCCTATTTGCTAAAGATGCAGCATTTGTTGTTCTGGTCCACATTGCAAGTTATTAGAAGTTTTATCATTTATGCTTTTCTGTTTGTCTGGCTTTGGAGGTTTAGTGCCGTAGAAAGAGTCTAAAATCATTTTTCACTCGTGTAGACTGCAATGACTTCGAAAGGATCCACGATAGTTTTGGTTTTGGAGCTCGAAACGAAGAAAGAAAATCTATTTTGGAATTTGCGTTGGGACATGATTTTATCATAACAAACACATTTTTCAAGAAAAGAGATTCTCACTTTATCACTTTTAAGAATGGGAGGAACTTGAGGCAGATAGATTATTTTCTCACAAGGTATAGAGAATGTTCTCTATGTAAAGAATGTAAAGTAATTCCTGGAGAAGTATTAGCCACCCAACATAGGTTAGTGATCTTAGATGTGAGCATTAAGCTTTGCTATAGAAGGACTAAGATAAACCACCTCCCACGAACTCGTTGGTGGCATTTGAAGGGAATAAAGCAATTGACCTTTAAAGAGAAGTTGTTAGAGGAGGCTACTTGATCATATATAGGTGATGCAAATACTATGTGGGATGCCATGGCCAGCTCATTAGAAAAGTGGCAAAGGTACTAGGGGAATCTAGAGGTAAAGGTCCCCCAGGGAAAAAAACTTGGTGGTGGAGTGAGGAAGTTCAAAAGGCTATTAGGATCAAGAGGGATTTATATAGAGATTTACCAAAGCGTAAGGAGATTTACCAAGGCCCATTCGGATCGGCATTCATCAAGGATCTGCTCTTAGTCCTTATCTTTTCACCATTGTGATGGATGAGCTGACAAGAGAAATATAAGATAGAGTTCCTTGGTGTATGCTTTTTGCAGACGATATAGTTTTAGTTGATGAACATAGGGAATGAGTTAACCGTAAGTTAGAACTGTGGAGACAGACTCCCGAGACGAACGGATTTAAGTTAAGTATGACGAAATTTGAATACATGCATTGTAGGTTTAGTGACTCAAGTAATCAGAGTGATGGAATTTCTTTAGATGGTGTGGAGATTGAGGCTTCTAAGAAGTTTAGGTACCTTAGGTCTATAGTGCAGTACGAAGGAGATATAGAAGAGGATATTCAACATAGGATTAAGGCAGGGTGGGTTAAGTGGAAGAATGCTATGAGAGTTTTATGTGATAGCAAGATGCCTATTAAGTTGAAAGGAAAGTTCTATAGGACTGTAATCTGCCCAGCTATGTTATATGGTAGTGAATGTTGGGCCATTAAGAGACAACATATATCTAAGATGAGTGTGGCAGAAATGCGTATGTTAAGATGGATGAGTGGCCATACGAGAATGGATCGCATAAGAAATGAAGTTATTCGTAGTAAAGTAGGTGTAGCACCAATAGAAGATAAGGTGGGCGAAGGCCACTTGAGGTGGTACGAGCATGTTCAACGTAGACCGCTAGAAGCACCAGTTTGTGCTTGGGAGGACATTCTTATACCTAATACTAGGAGAGGGAGGGGTAGGCCAAGAATTACGTGGACCAAAGTAGTTAGAAAAGACATTCTAGATTTATGCCTTCAGGAAAGTCTAATTTCGAATAGAGCTGTGTGAAAAAGTGAAATTCATATAGCCGACCCCAATTAAGTTGGGATTAAGGTTAGTTGTTATTGTTGTTGTTGTAGACTACAATGACTTAAAATCATAACTACAATGACTTAAAATCATAAGTGCTTTACTCTCAATTCGCCGGGAAGAATGAGAGAGAAGGAAAGGGTAATATCCTTCTCTTTTTTTTTCCCCCCGCTTGAAAATGAGGAAAAGAGTTGTTACTAATGAGACGTTTAGTTCATGAATTAGAATCATGTGATTAGAACCATTTTTGATTTACGTGTATTTTTTGTGAGAGAAAATACTGTAGTGAACCATGAACCATGATTCAAATTATGATTTGAATTCTCCAACTAAACGATAATTTGAATTCTCCAACTAAACGTCCCGTAACTGTTTTAGAAAGCCCAAATCATAACATGCTCTTCTCGTTTTGTGAAGTAGCATCGTTTGTCTGGAATTTCGCTCTTGAACTGGAGAGCACTGTCATGTAATTAGAATTTCACTGGTCAAGTGGGTGTCTTTTGGATGATATACGTGGTGACAGTCCTTGTTACATCTCATGATACACGAGCACGTGAACTCCACTACTATATATATGTATATGCATGTCCGTGTGTATCTTTACGAATTGTACTTCTGTATATACTTTTGTTGAAGATATGTAATCTTGTAGAACAATTATGATTCTAGCTCTTGTTCCCTAATATTTCCTTTTAATATCTTACAGTTTCTTTTTGTTTCTAAACTGTGCAGATAACTATGACAGGGCCATTTGGGAGGCTATAGAGCGAACGAGGTAAGAATTGTCATCTGACTTTGTTTTGCTTTTAATGTTCTTGTATCGCTGTCTCAGGAATCTTTATTTCTGTATGATGTTGTTTGATAGTTTTCAGAATGTTATATAATTGGGAAAAGCATACATACATGTACGTAAGCTATATTTGTGTGTATATTACGGTGATCAACGAGAAATTGAGATATTGTCTGATAGTTTTAAGAATGTTATATGATTGGGAAAGCATACATACATGTACGTAAGCAATACTTGTGTGTATAATACGGTGATCAACGAGAAATTGAGATATCCTGTGGTTTAGCTGGGCGAAATTTTTAAAAATTCTTAATTGAAGGTTATTGGCTTGTGAGAAATAATTGTTACTTGTTCCATTCTTCGACTTATTTACTAATTAGAAAAATTAGTGACCATCTGAAACATTTGTTTTTTCCTGTTTACACGCTGATTTACTCAATCAGGTGCAAGTTCCTTTCAGAAAAATGACTCGTACCAGTTTTGAGGCTTCGCTGTCCTGTTTGAGTTATAATTCTACAAGATTTATCTTATTCAAAGCAATGGCTCCAATGTGTCTAAATGATGCAACGATATTGGTTTTTGCTTGTATAACTGAATTATCTGCTTGTACTTTTCCACATGAAAACAAATTTTACTTCAGTGACCCAGAGAGAAAGACGGACTCAGATGATGATTTGCCTAAAAGGGACTGTGCAGGCGATGCTAGTTCTGGTAAAAAGGACGACGCCATGGATATCGACTTGGTTCAGGAAGTTGATACTGATGATGATGATTATGATTGTAGCAGCAAAGGTGATGTTGACGACAGTGATTTTAGTGACTCAGGCAAACCCGAATTAGACGTTAAGAACAAGAACGCGGGCTGTGATGCCCCAAAACATTTTGGGAGCCGCTGGAGTCTGAGACTAGCTGGATTCACTAACGAATCTTTTGTGGAAAACAGATACCTGGGCACAAAGAATAGATCGAGACAAAGGCCGGTTCACAACTCTGCTCTGGATGCTGTTGTTATACGGGATTCAGAAGATGATAGCTGAAAGGAGAGTCCATTATCTTTTTTCTTTTTGCTGAACAAAAGAGAAGGCACTATCAGGGTATGAAAGTGATACAGAAGTGATAGCTTGAAGATTGCTGTGGGTAACTTGACATGCAAGTTCGTAGGCAGGCACGCATAGTTTCCTCGCATTTTGTAGTTGAGACTAATGAGGAAATTTTTTGAAATGGTTAAGTTGTAAGTGAAACACTTGTGTTTACTCCTGGCGATACTGCATCTTTTGGCACCAGAAAAATTCAAAGTTGGTTAGATATTCTCTAGTATTTTCCAAATTACTTGGAAGGAAGATGGCTTCTTTTTTGTTAATATTATTAACAGTTTTGGCAGATGAATTCAGTTTGACTGATCTAAATCTAAATTTCTAATATTTGGTAGATTGTTGCTTGTATGAGAAAAAATTTTCTCACGTTACTACAAAATTTAACTCTTAAAGACTTCATCTTAACCCTTGTTAGTCCATTCAAAAGAAGCCTTGCCTCGAACGAGCAAAAATAAGCAGCAAACCACAAATTGAAGACTTGCCCAAAACCTGAACCATCAAATGGAGTTCAATAGAACAACACCAACAACATTTGCCACTACAAAATTAACCAAACCCAAAACAGAGTTGGCATATTAATGCTTTAAGCTCATCCTAGCGAAACTCATTTTCCATTGACCATTCTCACCATTTCCCATCATCGTCACTACCCGGTGATCATTGTCCCGGCCCCTTCGTCGGTCATGATCTCGAGCAGCAGTGAGTGCGGCACCCTCCCGTCGATTATGCTGGCCGTCCGAACCCCCTGTGCGAGCGACCGGACGCAGCAATTCACCTTCGGGATCATCCCACCCGCGATCTTCCCCTCGCTCATCATCTTCTTCACTCCCTTGATGTCAATCTCCTTCACCAAGCTGCCCGCATCCTCCCGGTCCTCCAGTATCCCCGCTACGTCCGTAAGCAAAATCAGCTTCTCCGCCCCCAATGCCGCGGCCAATTCCCCCGCCACGGTATCGGCATTGATATTATACTGCTGCCCGTTCTCATCCGCCGCCACCGAGGCGATTACCGGAATGTGCCCGCCGTCGACAATCGAGTGGAGAATCGTCGGGTCAACACGCGCCACCTCACCAACGAACCCCAATTTGGCGGCATTGGCGGCGGGGCGGGCGGTTATAAGCCGGCCGTCGGCGCCGCAGAGGCCGACGGCCTTGGCGCCGGCGCGGTCAATGAGAGAGACGAGATTCTTGTTGACTTTTCCGGCGAGGACCATGGAGACGATCTCCATGGTGGCGGCATCGGTGACGCGGAGTCCGTCGAGGAATGTGGCCTCGATGTTGAGGCGCTTGAGCCACTGGTTGATCTCGGGGCCGCCGCCGTGGACGAGGATTGGGCGGAGGCCGACGCAGGAGAGGAGGACGAGGTCGTTGACGACGGAGGCCTGGAGGGACTCCGATTTCATGGCTGGGCCGCCGTATTTGACCACGATGGTCTTGCCGCGGAACTTCTGGATGAACGGCAGAGACTCCGAGAGGATGTCGACTCGGAGCTGACCCGGCGTGGCCGTGACTGAGTTGGCGGAGGTCTCATTTTGTTGTTCTTGGACCGAGTTGGTGGCGGCGGCGAGGAGAGTTTGGGGATTTTTGCGGCGGAGAGAGAAAGCGAGATTAGGGATTGTGGAGTGGCTTTTGGGGGATTTTTGGGTTTTGGAGGAAGGGAATGAGGCTGAGGGGATTGGAGAGGGTTTTACCAGTGCTTTAGCTGCTAACATGATGTTCCTTTTTTTTTTTCCCCGTGGTGTTGAATTGTCTCGGGAAAGTGACGGAAAATGTGGGAAAGCTGGTTTCTCAGATAGAGAGAGGGTGGCAGTAGACAGTGGTGATTACTTTGGGATACTTTGCCACGTTATTTTTCAAGAGAAAAAATACTGAAATAAAAAAATTAAATTTAAATTTTTATAAAAAAAAAATATTATAATAAAAAATTTAATTGTGATTTGAGTTGGGTAAAAGAATAGGGGCTTGTTATTTTGAGTGAAAAACTCAAAAAAAGACAATTCGAATTATAATTTTATTTGAATTTATGTTCTTTTAAGTTTAAACTCAAGTTTAAACTCGAGTTCAAACTCGAGTTTAGGATTAAAACTCGAGTTCAAGTTTCCCCTTCAACTCGAGTTCAGAAATTCGAACTCAAATTAATGAACAGTATTTTTTCTATTCTTAAAAATGCTATAACTTTTTCGTTTTAATTCTGATTGAGATGCTTTTTTTTTCTATGCGTTGACAACGAAAAGACAAATAAAACCCGACCCATATACCTTATTAAAATTTTTCATCAGCATTGAGTTTTTATTAAAATACTATCTAAATACAATTCAAGTTTTGACTCATTCAAACACAAACTCAAAAAGATTATTATCTCAAATCATAACTCAAATGTACACAACCAAACACAAACTCAAGTTACAAATTCAACTCAAGTTATAACTCAAATTCAACTTAAGAATTATACTCAAATTAAACTCTAAAAGAACAAGCCCTATATTATTTCTTTCATCGCTATATTCAAGCATTAGCGAAAACGGCTTCTTACTTATGTGTCCATTTCAGATTTTTAATTTTTAATTTTGTGAATAAAACACGTGCATATTTCTTAAGAAAAAAGTTTTAAAAAAAAGGTAATTTGTACGGTTTCTAATTTTTTTTGATAAAATGATTCCCACCTTTTTAAAAGGGGGTAAAATTGTTATTTTCGTCAATTATCGTTTAAAAAGTAACAGTGCACTCATATTTTTTTGCTGGAAAGACAACAATGCTCTTAATTACAGTAATGTTATTCACGAAAGTCCAGAAAATCAACAAACAAGTCTGTATATTCAAGCACACTCGGCCATAGGATTGATAATGGTGACTTGTAAGTGATAATTATGAAAGGTATATGCAACTATCCATAGTAAATATATAGCTTACCCAACAGAATGAAGAAAAACACATGCCTATATACAACCAAGGCACGAGAACTCCAAAAATGTCACTGGTTTCATAAGAAAGGACAGATCCAGGAAGCCTAGGAAAGTTGTTCAAGTTCCAGCCCGACTTTTTATATACTCTTCTTCTGAAGCAGGAGAGTCTTGATTGGACATCTTTGGAAAGCCACTGCCAAAAGCCCCAGTTTCTAAATCAGCCCCATATAGCACCTAAAAGAGCAAAAGAGAAACTGTAATTCGGCCCTTTGAATGGTTGGTTTCATCATCATAGCCAAGCTCACAATACAACCACACAGAGAGATGGGATGGTGAAAATAATGATAGATGAACGAACTTAGTAAACATACATATTGGATATTTATATCAGCCCTTAAGCAATATAATCAGCCCTGAGTAATTAGGCTCTTTTGTTTCCTGTGCCTTTGCTCTGGCTGCAGACCGCATCCCCTTGGTCGGCTTCGGAATCTTATAATCACCCAATGAGTTTTCTTCCATTGCAGTCCCAAATTAAAGAAAACATTTCACAATCTCTAACTTGTAGACGATGAAATCAGCCTCAATTCTCACTATATGTGATTTTACACATATACCCTAAAAACATGGGCTACGTGGGTTCTCACGTGCACTGCACCGTTATCTTTTGGACGATAATTTGACGGAAAGGACGATTCTGCACCTTTTTAAAGAAGTTGAGGGTCGTTTTGTCAAAAAAAAGTTAGGGACCAAACTGTTACATTTTAAAAAGGTTGGGGACCATTCATGTAAATTACTCAAAAAGGTATTTTACACGGGAGATTCTCCCGTAGAATAAAAAAAAAAAAAACTACTAGTAGTTTTATTTTTTTCAAACCGTTTTTAGCCGTTAAATCTGTATTAAAAATTATATATTCTGCATACTTTTTCAATATCATTTGATTTTGACTATATCTAACAGTTAGAAAACTGGTCCTATCAGTAAGACGGTCTGACGGAGACAGTCCCATTTTACATAGTTGTCTCTTGAACTTTTATAGTTTTAACAACATGCTTTCTAAATTTTAATTTTGACAAGTTACCCCTTTAATTTAGAAATTTATTGTAATATCTCTCGATTATTGTGTTAAATTAGTGTCAAAAAAACACGTTTGACGAAAAGTTTTAACATTTTAATTCAAATGTAACACAAATATTTTAATTCGTCAACTTTTAATCCCTTAATCTAATAAAAAATTTGAATTAATTTACTAAAATGTGACACATTATAACAATTTTATAAGTTGAAAAAGGTTAATTGTTAAAATTAAAAGTTAGGTGGCAATTTCCTAAACGAGATTATCATTGTAATTTTTTCAAATTCTTTGCCTTAAAGATGTTATCCAAATTCTGAAAGACGTATAAAGGGACCCTTTTAAAAAATAACCTTAAATAAGCCATTCTATCAAGTCACTAGCCCTCAATGTGAAAACTCCAAACGAATAGCCTCCTCATTTAATGAAACATTTCACTTCTCCAAAATGCCCTTTTCCACTAAAAAAATGTATATTGAAAAAGTAAACAAAAAAATAAAAAAAACCATCTTTTTCTTCAAAAAAAAAAAAAAAACTCTCTCCACTAACATTTTCCGTCGTTGGCGCCGCCCATTCACCGTCGGTTTCGCCCCCGTCGATGTCCATTGTCTTTGGCATCCATTTCTATTCACATTCCAGTGTTGTTTTGATGATTATGTGAGACAAATTGAAAGTTTTTAAAATCACCAAAAAACTTGAGAAATCAAGCTCACTTTTTCTTCTTTAAATTGTTGTTTAAAGGTTGGGCATCCATCTTTAGGTGTTTTATTTAAAAAACCATCAAGATTCATACCATTTCGTAGTTTTTTTTTTTGAGCTGCAAATCCAAAAATTTGAAAGGAAAGACGAATGAACAGTGTTGAGAAGACTGTTCCGACCGGTCACACCGGTTTAAAAATCTAAAACCGGTCAGAACGGTCTTACCGGAAAGAACGATCCGCTCGGTCAGAATTTTACTAAGTGCATATAATACTTTCCAAAATAATTACCAATGTAACAATATAATATCAAAAATTGGTCAAATTTAACTTAGTTTATATTCATAAGTCATAATTTGACATATTTAATTTTAAAACAACAATCACATTACTAGTTTGCGTTATCGATGATTTATTGTCAAATAATTACTAATGTAACACTATAATATCAAAAATTAGTCAAATTTAACTTTAGTTTATATTTAAAACCATACTTGTGAGTGAGTGAGACACTATCAACAATTAGAATCAGACGTTATATAAAATCATTAATTAGTTTTTCATGCGAATCAAAATTAAGTGTAATCACGAAAGCCAATCGTTATTATAAATTTTGATCGCCATCTTCTCCCGATAGATTTTTACAAGATTGTCATACTACTTCTATTGCAACACTCTAGCATAATCACCAACACTATGATTTTTTAAAATTGGCGAATTTCATTTTTAAACACAATTTGTTTAACTATTACCAATTTAATTGTATAACGCCAATAATTAACAAAATTTAACTTTGAGTTATATTAAAAAAATCATAATTGTGAGCGAGACACTATTGACAATTAAAATAAAATGTTTCGTTAGAAGTGTAGATATTGGTCTGCACGGCAAGAACGGTCCACTTAGAAAACCATTTTGCATGTTGATATAATTATAACCAATTCGTTCGTCTTAAACATTTTGATCGTTCTAACCAACGCCGGAAAGAACAGTGAGAAAAAGGAAATAATACTCTTAATCTTACTACCTTTTCTTACCATTCTGACATGTATCAATCTGCGTGATCATAAACAATTACTAAACACATTTTATCTTACTGGTTTTTCTTACCATTTTGAACGATATCAATTTGCGCGGTAAGAAGAAATCATTGGCTTGTAATTATAAATCATAAACTAAATTATTGAGGCACTAGTAAGGATCAGTTAAAACTCAAATTTTAATTAGACAATTAAAATTTAACTTTAGTTTATATTTATAACTATAATTTCACACGTTTAAGAATCGATACACTATTATCAATTAGAAGACCAATCTACTTAGAAGTTTCTTTTAGGTGTGCTTGGTTGGAAAGATTGGCTAGATTAAAATTGGATGAATTCATATTAAATATCACAATATTTATAACATCAACATCATACAATTAGATTAATATACAATAATTTCATAGATTTGCGTGACCATGCATTATTGTCACATACCAATGTAGCATTATATTCTCAATAACATCGAGTTGTATTTTCATACTAAGATTATATTAAATCCGCATTAATTTGAAAATTTTAACTTTATGTTTTTCCATACATTTGAGTGACCACGACACAATAGTCAATTAAATGATTGGTATGCTTCAAAGTTCAAGGATCAGTCAGCGCTCTAAGAAGATCTGCTTTAAGGATAGGCCATCATTATGCACAATCAGATATGGTCAGAACAATTTAACTGTGCATATCAGAGATTTTTATTTTCTGATCGAAGACCACTCCACTCGGTGTTAATTTTCCGACTGTTCTAACCAGTATTGATCTGCGCAGCTAGAAAAAAAACAACAATTACACTAAACTTTCTACCTTTTTCGACCGGTACTAATCTACGCAATAAAAAAAAATTTCCTGCTTATTATGTTTTCTGACCGTTCTGACCATTCTCACTAGTCAAAATTATTTCCATAATTATGATAAAAAAGTGTTTCTGAATATTTGGAGAAATAAGAAAACCTAAATATAATGATTTGAAACTTAGTTCCACAATTAAATTTAAACGAATTCCGGGGATTATCTTTGAATGAAGTTATAAAAAAACCAATCTCAATATGTGCACTTTGACTACTCCCAATATGCAAAGCCAGATGAAAACGAGTATAATTCCAACTATATTATCCAAGTCAATGACCTATTCACTTTTCTCTTTGATAGTATGCTCACCAACGTAATTAAAAGGACTACGGAAAAAAAAAAGAGATGAAATATAGATGAATAATCAACTAAATGAAGCTTCAATGCATGAATAAGATTCTAGAAAGATCTATTCGATTTTTTCTGACCATCTAATCGTGTACTCAGTCAAATTGTTTGATATTATAGTGTTACATTAATAATTATTTCAAAGTATCATATGATATGCATTTAGTAAAATTCTGACCGAGCGGATTATTTTTCGACCGATAAGATCGTTCTTATCAAGGGTAATTTAGTCTTTTGCTTTGATAACAGAAGGAAAATAAATGAAAAAGGAATTAATTTTTATAAGGGGGACTATAGTCAGAAGGTGTTTCAATCGGAGGTTACTGGCTGAAAAAGTCCCGTATAAAAAGGGCAGAGAAAGAAGGGGAAAGGAAAGGGGACCTTAGGAGGAAGAGATAATAACGACCCCATGGCTGAAGAAACGACGAGAGAATAATTGTCGTTTGTTGTCATTTATGTTTTCTTCCAGTTTCAGTCGAAAGATGTCGTTGTTCCATCATTCTTTCCTTTTCGATCCATTTTCCTGAGAAACTAACAGTCCTGTTCAGACATTCGATTTTCCCACTCAGCCAATCTTCTTCTCGAACTCTCCAAGTTTCAATCCAAAATTTCTCACTCGCAAGCGAAGAAAAACCGTTTCGAGCTCAATTTTCCCGAGAACCAAACGCACATCTATCAACTGATGATCAAGGTGACAGAAGCAAGTTTCCGAGCGCTCAATTTAACGAAGTATCCATGCCTTGAGAATTCACGAAAAACCCTACCTTCATCACTTTCTGTCGGGAAAAATGGACAAAGAAACCGAAATCCTCTCGCGCCTAGCCGCGAACCACCTGTTCCTCGCCCAATTCGAACCTCTCAGGGCGATAATCCACGCTCTACGAGCCAAGGACCCCGAGCTTGCCCTCGCCGTGCTCCAGACGATCGTCGCTCGCTCCGGCCGGTTCGAGAACGTTCTGTGGTCTTCCTCGTGTCCGTCGCCGTCTCTTCTCACGTACTTGGCGACTCTCGAGCTTCTACAATTCGACAACGCCTCGTCGGTTTGGAGCTTCGATCGCGAGACGCTGCGATTGCGAGCCGAGTTTTTGTTACTGGTTCAGCACCTGATCGATCGGGTTTCGGAGACTATGAGGAAGAATTTCGATTTGGAGAGCATCGGTAAAGAGAGAGAAAGCGAGAGCTTCGAGGAGAGAGGAGAGTTATTGGATAAGAGTGAGGATAAAAGCGACGATTTGAGAGCTGCGAGCGGCGAATGGGACGGAGCCGTCAGAGTTTTGGACAGAATTTTGGAGTTGGGAGTGAAGAGGTTGAAGGCTGATGTAGTTGTACACGATGGTGATGACGATAATCATACTCCGAATCAGGCCATTGCAATCGAGGAAGCCGAATTCGTGTGCTTGAGGAAGGTAATTTGGGAGTATTCGGATGTTTTTGATGCATTGTGTTTGAATATACAGAAGCAATTGAGAGGCTGGGAAGGCTATGACTCTTCTGGTTTAGCAATAATGCCGCGGAGGGACGGGAATGCGGTTGTGGAGACGTCTGGGGAAGAAGAAGAGGATGTGAAGATTCTTGGTTTGATACAAAGGAGTGTCCAATTAGCTCATTTAGACGCCATTAGAGATTGTGTTAAAGAGGGTAATGTGAATGAAGCTGTTTCGCACATTCGCTTTCTTAATCTTGATTACGGAGTTGAGGAGTCCGAGTATCGGTAAGCCTGTTAAACTAGCTTCTATGTTGGACTTTGATTTTTTGCAGCATTTGTGTTTCTTTTGTTGCTCTATAGAAGTTTATATGTAGGAAGTTTGAGAAACGGAAAAATTTAAAACTAATGGGTGTAGATTATATACTCTCTTTTAGCTACTAGGCCCGTGCCGTTTTGGTTTGCTTTAGGTATGATTGATAAGAAGGCAGTTATAACTTATAATAGCTCCTGTTTATGTAAAATTTGAAATGGTAGGTCATTCATTGGTGGCCTCTTAGGTGTGGCATTCATGGTGTTTCGATGTCGCATGAGATGTAGGCAACAATATTACTGACCACAGAAGAGTTTTGAATATGCATTGTGAGATACCGCGTTAGAAAGTTTCCTGTTGTATGACAGCTCCCTGTCCCTTTTGTACTGTTGAATAGTGATGTGTACAAGTCCAAGACTATGAGGTTCAATTTTGTATTACGAGCGTTCCATTCAAAACTTCATCTTCTTCGTAACTGTTTTATCTTTACAAGAAACTCTTATACTGAAAACACTGACATGCAACAAGTCGAGTTCATTATTGGAGATATTCATTGGCAATGAGCTTTAATGAGCTTTGCTTATGGGCCAAAGCGTGATTATTGATAGGGAGTTTTGAGCAAAGTTTAGATGCTCCTTTGAGATAGAATTTTGTCTTGGCCTCTTTATTGTTGTTGGCTTTAAAAGAGTTTTAGCTCTTTCCTTTTTCTATGAGCTTTTAGTAATGTATTGGAGAATGTTGTGAATTTGTTCTATTGGTGTGATGGTGTCTATTTTTTATTTTCTATTTATTTTTTATTTTGGTTGGACGATGTTCTTCAGGTTCTCCTTTTCCATTGTACTAACATTTTTTTCAGTCTAAATAAATTATTGTTTTCTATAAGTAAAAATATGAGAATGACTGCAATAACAGCAAAGTCCCCTGTGATTGTCAAAAATATTCTATGGCATGCCCTGATGAGTGATCCTTTGTTTTTTTGTTACATTATTTTGTGCTTTGTTAGCTTTTAATTGCCTATACCTGGTTGGAGTGCAAATTGTTATTTGATGGCTATATCCCATTTGTGAACTTCGTAGATTTAGCTGAGCTAGGTATGTTATAAACACGTTAGGTATTACATATATATATATTTATATATATATATATATATATTTTTATAAGAAACAGAAAATTTATTGAAAGAATAAAGATATTCGTATCTTGGGTTCACTGTTGCATTGGATAAAGTTTTCCTGTTTACTCTTTCTTTCTACCAGTTAGAAATTCAAAATAGACATTGCGTCCTTCTATGTTTTTTGTTTTTTTGTTTTTTTGTTTCCTCCTTTTCTCTGGGCATTCACTTTGGATGTTTTACAGCATTATATTACTGGATCTCCTGAAGGTTGTTTCTCTGGGAAGGGAGGGATATGGGGACTCCTGGCATGCCAAGAGAGAAAAGTTGCTGATGATTTATGGTGCAGCTCTTGCATCAAAGTGCAGACGTCTCAGTCAGATGTTACAGGTAATGTTTGTTTCATTTTTCCCAGAATAGGTCTTAAATTTAATGGAAGGACTCTTAAGAATTAGTAAATATGTTACAAAGATTGTACATAGAAATTTATATCATCCTGAGGTACTATAAATTCTGTAAGGTTTAAACTTGATATGGATGTGAATACTTGTATTGTAAGGGGGGCTATTATGAATGGGTAGTTGATTTTTGGGTAGTTGATTTTTGCAGGTTCTTCAGGATGAGTTGCTTCGGGAAGAGATAGAGTCACATAGATCTCTTGACAACAACCAGATTCCACCACCTCTTGAATGTTTCCAGAGATATGTTGTAGAGTTGGAACTTGATTCAGATTTTGACAGAACCTCGTCCCTAACCAATGCAGTCAGTTCTTGTACGAGAGACATGTACCATTATGCTCGTGTGTCTGGAAAACATGTTTTTGAATGTGTCATGGATACTGCCCTGTCTGCTGTAAGGAGGGAGCAACTTCAAGAAGCTAGCAATGTATGTGTCAAGTTTTATGTTTAATTGAATATGTGAGTATGATTTTGATAGTTCTGACCATCTTGTGAGCTGATCATTTCATTTTACAATACTACGTCACTCATAGTTTTCATTGAAAAACCTTTCTCGTCATCCTATGTGGCAGATTCTTTCACTGTTTCCCCGACTTCAGCCTCTGGTAGCTGCCATGGGTTGGGATTCGTTATCTGGAAAGACTGCCGCACGAAGGAAATTAATGCAACTTCTTTGGACGAGTAAGTCACAAGTACTTCGGCTGGAAGAGTCTTCTCTTTATGTTAGCCAATCGGATGAGGTAGTACTCCTTTACTACAGAAGTGTTGTAGTTTATGGTCTTAAATTGTTATCTGTTGACAGAAAATAGACGAGTTTATGTGTTTTTTATTTTTTTGACAGATATCTTGCGTGGAACATCTCTGTGATTCTTTGTGTTATCAGCTTGATCTTGCCTCCTTTGTTGCCTGTGTCAATTCTGGTCGATTATGGAATTCAAAGTTTTCATTAATATTATCTGGAAAAGAACAAGTATCATTTGGAAGTGAAGATGCTCAATTAGACCCTTTTGTTGAAAACTTTGTGTTGGAAAGACTTTCGGTTCAAAGTCCTCTTCGGGTAAGATTGTGGTGTTTTTTTGTGTTAGAAAAGGATACACATCGTGATTAATCTCAGTTTCTGCCTTTCTATGACCATCCTTTTTGTTAGCTTTCCATTTTGCCAACGTGGGTCAAGGGTTTTGTTTATTTATTTAAATTAAATGAGACCATATAGGGACGCAGATTGAAATTAAGATTACCATCCAAAGGTGATATGTTTTATAATCAAATGCCAAGATGGTCAAAATCAGCAAGAAGTTAAATAACGGGGGATGATTTTGTAATTTACCCCCTTTTTTGTTTTTTGATCTTATGATCCAAGAAGAATCCGTTATCTCCACTTTGTTATTTTACCAAGGAAAGAAGTTTGTAATGACTAATAGGGGTAGCAGCCATGTTAAGAAAAGAAGTTAACGGGAAAATTCTTCTGGTTGCGCTCAACTCTTGCATAATACTTACTAACGGGTAGTAATTAGAAATTTATTGGTTTTTATTAAGACAAATCTAGAACTTTATCAGACGACTATTATATTTGAACGTTTTTAAATTTATATAATCATTTTGGGAAGTATTCTCAGAATTTGTTGCCACAGTACTACAAGAATGTTTGATGCAGTGCCTTATTTGAACACAGGCTTTTTTTAGAATGCTAAATTGTGACAAGATGCATTTTGTAGGTTTTGTTTGATGTCGTGCCTAGCATCGAATTCCAGGATGCTATTAAATTGATCAGCATGCAGCCAATTGCTTCTGACATAGCAGCCTGGAAGAGGTGTGTATGATAATATCATTAGTCATAGGCATGAGGTGCTGCTTTACTTTTTAATTATTCATTATCATTTCATCATGTTATCCTGAATATGTAAAGAACTCATGTTCTAGAAGGGAAGTGCTACAAGTTCACGACAACTAAGAAAAAATGATGAGGTGCATGTCTGGATCTATAGTAGGCGTGGCCACTATTACTCATTGGTTGCTGCTGGTTGTCTTTTTGTTTGCTCTTCACTTTATATCAGATAAACATCTATTTTTCATAATTTTTTGATGATTCCATATTTTATAAATTAGCGTGTTCTGGGATGGATTTTCTGGTTGTCTGGTTGGGCTTTTGCATAATTAACCATGTAGTAATCACCTTGACCTTGTTGTTATGGTTTTAGTCGGGATGGTTGGTTATTGCAAACAGATGTGTCCAATAAAGGAAATGATTTATCCTCTTGTTACTAACGTACTTATTCCAGTGCTGGTTGTGCATGCTTCATCTGTTATACATTTTTGGGTGATATGAGTTGATTTTTGGTATATCCACGGCTCAGTGGTGAATCACTTGGACTTAGTGCCTCAGGAAGCATTAGGTCTAAGCTTCGATTCTCATTGAGTGCTATCAATTACTTGGGGCCATGCTGCGGGCTAAAGGCCCGAGATTTACCCGATCCATGTGGAGGGGGCGCTTCGCATGGATCCTGTGGATTAATCGGGGCAAATTCTCGGACACCACGGTTATAAGAATATAGGGCATTTCCATGAGACCATGACCCACTTTTGGAATTTGAGCATGTGTAGCTTAGATTTTATCATTCAAGCTTGGTTGTCTTACTGTCACGGATATAATGATGTAAGTTCCTTTCTCCTTTTTGTTTTCTTGATAGGATGCAGGATATTGAACTTATGCACATGCGTTATGCTCTGGAATCAGCAGTTCTTGCACTTCGAGCAATGGAAAGGAGCATGGATAGTGAAATAGAAAGTCGTCATCCGGAGCCCTTTTGTTTTTTGAAAGATCTGCAGAGCCACTTGGAGGCTATCACTAATATTCCACGCAAGGTCAACTGAAAACACTGTGCGATCTGTAGGATACTAAATGAAAATTGTTGAAACAACCAATGCTAAAAGGGGCTTACGTTAGAATTCTTTTAAGCACATTTGAGCTTGATTTATATCTTAATAAAGCTTATGTAAACTCTTAAATTAATGCCATTAACTTTAAACTTTATTCTTATCACTTTGCTGTTCTTAAATTCAAATGTTTCTGTGATATCGAATTTGTTCAATAGGAACTTAATAAGACTGATATGGTCTTCATTTAAGCACCTTGTGCTAAATTGTTATATTAGTCTAGATTATCTAAACTCTTAACTGAAGTTTCCAATTTTAAAGTTTAGTCTGCTTGTTTTATTTACTTTCTAAAATACCAACTATCTGAGTGCTATTTGGTCTGTTCAATAATGCAGATAATGGTGGTGAATGTTGCAATCTCACTCTTGCATATGGATGGTCTTTCTCTTAATTCGGCGCATTGCATTTCTTCTCGGAGCTCTACTGAGTCAACACGTACTTGTGTATGGGAACATACTGATCTCCCATCTGAAGGGGGAAACAAATTGGTTATATCTTTCGTGGGACTGCTACTTGATATATTGCATCGTAATAATGTTCCTTCAACTATAAGTGAACTACAGCATGCTCAGAGTGATGGTTTAACGTCAACTGGAAGACAAGCATTAGAGTGGAGAATATCACTGGCTAACCATTTCATTGAGGAGTGGCGATGGCGATTGTCAATTTTGCAGCGTCTTCTTCCATTAGCTGAGCGCCAGTGGAGATGGAAGGAGGCATTGACCGTACTACGTGCGGCCCCATCTAAACTACTTAACCTGTGAGTTTGATTTATTTATTTTTGACAAGTAAACTTTCTTTCGTTGATCGTTAATCAAATACAAAGGAAAGAGGATAAAGAATCTTCAGTAAACATAAAAGGACAGAGCATAAGAAAATAAAAAATGCAATGAAAAGTCAGCATGACACTTAAAACCCTGTAACATTCTTCCAGTTAAGGACAATCCCAGAAAATGGAAAATCCTTATCCGTGATGGCCACAAAAAAGCTTGAAATTTTGCCGTCTCAAAACCTGTTTTTTTTTCTTAAAAAATTCTAGCATTTCTTTCTATCCAAATTGTCTATGAGTTTGATTTACAGTTATCTGTGTTATTTATTGTATGATGATCATTATTTTCTTGCACCTTACTATTACTGATGAGATGAATTTCCTTGTGCCCTTGCTTAAGACCGTTTGGTCTAGTGGCATTGGGGTTTTGGGTGGGGTGGGGCTTTGGGGAGGTTGTGCGTCCAATCTTGCCTTGTATAATAACCAACAACAACAACAACAATAACAGTAATAATAATAATCTCACTGTCACTTGGGCTCTCTGGTTAGAGAGGAACAACCACATTTTTGAGGACATAGAGGGCGATGTTATCGATGTCTGGGATAGAATTAAGTTTTGGGTGGCCTTGTGGGTTCCTCAAGTTCAAAGCCTTAATGCCTTTTCTGTTTTGGATTTGTTACAAGGATTGGATTTAGTTCTCATTGTCACTTGGGATCTCTGGTTAGAGAGGAACAACCAAATTTTTGAGGACATAGAGGGCGATGTTGACTAAGTCTAAGACAGAATTAAGTTTTGGGTGGCCTTATGGTTTCCTCAAGTTAAAAGTCTTAATGTCTTTTCTTTTTCGGATTGTTAGGAGGATGGGATTTAGTCCTTCAGTAATTTTGTGCTTTTAGGTTTTTGGTTTTCGGTTTTCTTGTTCTGGTGGACTCCTTGTCCCCTGTTATACTCTTTTCCTTTTTATTAATATATTCTTTCGTTTCTTATCAAATTAATAATAATAATAATAATAATAATAGTAATAATAATAATAATAATAATAATAAAGAATATTTCTGAATGCCCCAGTTTTCTGTTATTATATAGGCATGATTCCAATTATAATTTAGATTTTTTTTGGTTGTATTAGCAGAGATCTCATTTATTCTCCTTCAAAATGCGGTTCTGTTCTCAGTTATTTATTTTAGATGTTGACAAAATTCTATAACAGGCCAAATCTTACTAGGTTTTTTATTTTAACTATTATGTAGTTGCATGCAAAGAGCGAAGTATGACATTGGAGAGGAGGCAGTCCATCGATTTTCACTATCTGCAGAGGACAAAGCCACCCTGGAGTTAGCTGAGTGGGTGGATAATGCTGTCAGAAGAGCATCTGTATGAATCAGATCGAAATAACCTATAACCACCGTTTTTTTTTTTGTGTTTAATTATTTTTGTATATTGTCCATTCTACCAATTATCTATCCCTTCTTCTTTTTAGTGTAACTAGTCTAGTTCTGCTTGTCCATGCTACCAATTATACTCGAAACATACAAAATATCTGACTAATGAAGGGCTCATGGCTGACTTTACCCGTTCAGTTTAGGATTGTAAATTCATATTAAGGATGGACTGGCATATAAGTGGAGTTTAGAAGAAATATGGTTGTGGATGAGAGACTTTAATTTTTGCATCCTATGAGCGCATTGCAAATTCTTACAAATGCTTGTGCTTCAATAGGCGGAACAAGGCTAGGTTTTATCGTCTTAACAGTATGATGCAGATATTGCACTAAAGCTGTCCAAAAAATGTGTGTGCGCGCGCGCGCACGTTTTTTTCTCTCGGGAGTATGCTGTTTATTTGATTTTATCTGGTGGAGTTGTAATACTTCTGAGTCATCATCGATAGTGAACATGGCCTTTTACTGCATTTTGATTTATAATATTGTTGTGTTTGTTTACATCAAATAGTGTCCTATTTTTAGTCTAGTTTTTTGGACTAGAATTTCTGCCTTTATTTTGTTTTCAATGAAATTGCTACGTCCTTTTGTTTTTCCAGGTGGAAGATGTGGTGTCTCGTGCTGCTGATGGGACTTCTACATTGCAAGATTTAGATTTCTCTTCATTGCGCTCCCAGTTAGGTCCTTTGGCTGCTGTAAGTTCTTGCATCGTGTAGTCTTGTTTCCACTAAGTCCATTGTGGTTCCAACTTAGTTACAGTCTAATCTTGTATGTTTGTCCCACCAGATTCTTCTTTGTATTGATATTGCTGCAACTTCAGCACGGTCGGCAAAGATATCTCAGAAGCTTCTCAATCAGGCAATGCTTAATATATTTATGCATGCACTTGAAGATCATACTTGTTTGATTTCATTAGTTCCTTTAAGCGCTCAGTGCGTAGTGTACCTAAAGCTAAACTGAAATTAACTTTACTATCAGTCTATTACCATTACTTGTCTTACTGCAAAGCCCATCCCACGATCCTTTTAGATAAGTTTATTATTTATGTTTGTTAGCAAAAAGCAAACTTGCTTATTGTTTTTTGTATTCACTGGTGATTATTCTGATTAGTTGAGTTGTATTATTATTATTTTTTTCGGGTAAATCTTGAGTTAAAACATATTGTTATTTGATGCATGTTCCCTATTTCAAGTGCTGGAAAGAAACTTTAGATTTCTCTTTGTTTGATGGACCGTTTAAATTTTGTAGGCTTCACTATTTTTGGTTTAGATATGTGCTTTTTGGTGGTTTGCTCCTGAAGTATTGAGTTCATTTTGATGTATATGTACTGTGCAGGCTCAAGTTATGCTATCTGAGATATATCCAGGTGTCTCCCCAAAGAAAGGCTCCACATACTGGGATGAGATCCTTGAAGTAGGAGTTATTTCTGTTTCACGAAGGGTCCTAAAGCGTTTAAATGAGTTCTTGGATAAGGTGATAAGATCTTGTAATAAAAAATCTCACAAGTACAGCAAGGCTGTCCTGACTTTTAATTTGTTGGACTTGTGAAATCCACTTATTAAATTAACTGATGTGAACAAGAATATGTGATAGTTTCTATTTTGTATCTTACATTGCCTTTTTAGACTCTTTTTTTTTTTATAATTTCAGACGTTTGCATGGTTGTTTGCTTGCTGGAATTTTGTATCTTGAGGTCTATGTTGTTGTTGTTGTTGTTTTTAGTAAGTTCAGAGTGGCAAAGGAGATTTAAAAAGATGGACGGTTAAGCCTGGGAATGTCATATGTCTGTAGAGGACAAGAAATTGATCCTCAGGTTGAGATACAAGTGGTAGATTGCTTGTTCACGTTCAATTATGCCATGTCTGATGGGATTGACTGGACTAAATTCCTCATCTTACTTTTTCTCTTCGCTTTCTCTTCTAGTGCTTGTTTTCCATGAAGCAAATACTCTATTGTTAATTGTATCGTACAGTTTTGTCTTCATGTGTTTTTTTTATCAGTGAGCATTATATTGACCCATTCTCTCAATTTTTAATGTTTCTGTTAGTGCTTCTAGTGAGGTTTATGCAAGAAGCATTACATGATTATTAACCATACTCTCTAATCTACTATCTAGGATAACCCTCTGGCCCTTCAAGATATTTTGACTGGAGAACTTTTCATTTCTTCGCCAAAAGAGTCCCAACGACAGGGGCAAAGGGAACGTGCTCTTGCGATGCTACATCAGATGATTGAAGATGCTCACAATGAAAAACGACAGTTTCTTAGTGGTAGGCTTTTCTTCCTTTCTCTTTCAGGGTATTCCAGATGGTAATATTACCGTTTAAGACGTTTTTATTATATGACTTTGCAGGTAAGCTCCACAATCTTGCAAGAGCTATAGCTGATGAAGAAACAGAACCAAATCTTCTTAAAGGGGAAGGTCCATCTACTGATCAGAAGGCAGTTTCTGAGTTTGACAAGGATGGGGTTCTTGGGCTAGGATTAAGAGTTATCAAACAGAAAGCTTTACCTTCAGCTACTGGAGATATTAGTGAGCAACCTGTGGATTATGATGTAAAGGAGACTGGGAAGAGATTGTTTGGTCCAATAAGTAACAAACCCACAACCTATCTTTCACAATTCATTCTGCATATTGCTGCAATTGGAGACATAGTTGATGGAACTGATACAACTCACGACTTCAACTTTTTCTCACTTGTGTACGAATGGCCCAAGGATGTAAGACTATCTTATTCATTAAGTTATCTACTTTGGTGCTATGACAATTATTTTTCTTGCGGATGTTCTGGTTCAACTTGCCTTCTGGAGTTAAGTTTTGGCTATTTGAAGAGAAAGTGCTTTGGAGACATATTATTTTATTATTTTTAAGAATTTTTTGACTAATTTGTAAAAACATGAAATCATAAAGGAAGAATATAAAGTACTTTTACAATGCTCATCCTTTGAGGCCAATGTATGAACCTCAAAACTTTTTAGTGCATTAAGGTGGAATTTACAAAATATACTGGTGTATTATGGTCTATGTGTACAGACTTGTGGAACCCTTACGAGGAACTTCTGCCATTCAGATCAAATATGTCAACTTTTTTTTTTAATTTTTAATCTCTCTCCCCAAAAAAGTTTAACATGGGAACAAGCTTGGTTTCATTTCTCGGTGTTAATGGACCGTACTGTGATGGTACTCATCATAATATTTGGGCAAAAATATTCTTCGTAGTATTGTGTATGCGCGTGTTTTCTTTTGTTCTTTGTTTTTTTGACTTTTGTCTTGTCTGTGTGTGTGTGTGTGTGTATGTGTGCGCAAAATAAGCCATTTGGGATTATGGATCAGGTGACCCCTGCAGAAAATTACATGCACTCTAATTCTGTTCATATTTGATATCTGTATTCAAACAGTAGCTGTTTGTAAGCTCAAGTTGAAACATATATGAAATTTAATAATTCTTTTGATGAAATTAAATCATCATAAGTTGTGCTTTGCAGCTTTTAACTCGTCTTGTCTTTGATCGAGGGAGTACTGATGCTGCTAGCAAGGTGGCTGATATTATGTGTGCTGATTTTGTCCATGAAGTTATTTCAGCATGTGTACCTTCAGTTTATCCTCCACGGTCCGGTCATGGATGGGCATGCATTCCAGTTCTTCCCTCCTGCAATAAGAATGGTTCAGAAAATACAGTACTGTCTCCCTCTTCTAAAGGTGCAAAGCCTAATTGTTATAGCAGATCACTGTTGCCCGGCATCCCTCTATACCCTCTACAGTTGGATATCGTAAAACACTTGGTTAAAATTTCCCCAGTTAGGGCTGTTTTAGCATGTGTTTTTGGGAGTAGCATTTTATACAGTGGGAATACCTCTTTTGTGTCGAGCTCTCTGCATGGTGAATTGTTTCAGGCGCCTGATACAAACCATTTGTTTTATGAGTTTGCTCTGGATCAATCCGAGAGGTCAATTAAAAATCCCTAGAAGTTCATCTTTTAATATAATATATTCAATGATTGCGCAGTTTTAACGTTTTATGCTGCACAGGTTCCCGACTTTAAACCGATGGATACAAATGCAGACTAACCTACATCGAGTTTCAGAGTTTGCAGTAACAGCCAAGCAAACTGCTGATGGGGACGAGGTTAAAGCTGAAGCTAGAGATGCTATTAAGAGACTCCGTGAGCATGAAAGTGATACCGAGTCTGAGGTTGATGAAAATGTTAGTGGCAGCAATATCTCAACAAATTTGCCAGTTGTCAACGGCCAAGATGGCACAGCTCCTGAGACATCCTGGAATGATTCCCCAAAACCTGATGTTGCTGAACTTGATAATTCAGTTTTCCTTTCTTTTGATTGGGAGAATGAAGAACCCTATGAGAAAGCAATAGAACGGTATAACAATTTCAAAAATCTTCAGCATTTCTTATTTCATAAGGATGGTTAACTGTTTAACTTGTTTGGCTTTATTGCTGCTTAGTTAAATTGTTGTCAGAAAGTTTTCCCTGTAAAATTGATTGTTACATATTTGGAGATGTTCTAGTAGAAGGATGAATACCAATCTGAATTATTTTCATATTTCATAAGCAAACTAGTAGAAGACTCATCAATGACAGTTTGAAACTTGTATACCTTTGAATTGATTATTTGTTTCTATTTACAAGTATGTTGGTAAAGACTGTGGTGACTCTTCTCTTGTTGCATGCTATTTTTTCCTAGCACAGCGTATCAGTGACTAATACAACATTTAGCTTCCATTCATTATAGTTTCAATTTTTTAAAGCCCTATTTGCATCTGCATTATTAAAATTTCATGATTTAAGATTGTTTTTTATACCGACGTAAACGTACATGACACTATTATGATATTTAGTTTAATGTGCTTTTTAGGTCTGAGTTTTCGTTCTTGGAGTATATTGGTGGATACATTGATGCTTTTATCTAAGTTACATGCTTTAGTTTCCAAGTACGGTAGAATATATTAATATTTCTAAGTACAATGACAACTGAAATTCACAAACTACTACTGACAGTCTACTATTTGTTTCCTATCAGATTGATTGATGAAGGGAAACTAATGGATGCTCTTGCGCTCTCTGACCGGTTTCTACGCAATGGAGCCTCTGATCAATTGCTGCAGCTACTTATTGAACGCGGGGAAGAAGACCAATCAATATCTGGACAATCTCAAAGTTATGGAGGCCATAGCATTTGGAGCAATAGCTGGAAGTACTGCCTGCGTTTGAAGGACAAATGGCTGGCAGCTAGACTTGCCCTCAAGTAAGTAAATTGGTTGGTGTCTTCGTTTTTATGGTGAATGCAACTGTTGTTAGAATTACATGATAAGTTTGAAAGACAAATAGTCTCTTCAATGCAGTCACTTACACTTGTGGAAGATCCCGGTTTTTGAAGTTGAGTTTGACAATATTATCACTTTCCTTTATCTCTTTATATTGGCTCCTATTGCATCTTCCAATATGTTGTCATTGTTTAGATGCTTTTGAGTTATTCTTTTCTGAATCCCTTTGTGCGTGTACTAACTAATGTCAGATCATAAACTTTGTTAAGACAGGGCTAGTACCACTAACTATTAGTATTAGATTTGACTTCTGAGAAATTTTTGTTCCAGGTATATGCATAGATGGGAACTTGATGCTGCGTTGGATGTTCTTACAATGTGCAGCTGCCACCTACCTCAAAACGATCCAATTAGGAATGAGGTTCTGTTTTATTCTCGAGGATGTTCCTTACTATTAGTTGGCATTAACTTTTTTTCCTGAAAACTCTTATTCCTATCATTTTGTTGGGATGAGTTTTATTATTATTATTATTATTATTATTATTATTATTATTATTATTATTATTATTATTATTATTATTGCTATTATTATTATCATTTTTATTATTATTTATTTCTGGTATGATCCTTTTGGATGATTAGGTTGTGCACATGAAACAAGCTTTGCAGAGGTACAACCACATACGGAGTGCAGACAATCATTATAGTAGCTGGCAAGAGGTCATAGTTCTTTTCTTTTTGTTGTCTATAATTCATTTTACACACATACCCTCATCCCCAATATATCAAGTCACTCTCCTTTTTGCTAGAAAATGTCTTTTAATATGTTGTCATTATCCTATAAAAATTCATCTCGTACTACGCCAATTTCAATGAAAGAAATTCATTGCTCACTACTTGGTCAATTAATGTCAGGTTGAAGCTGAGTGTAAAGAAGATCCTGAGGGTTTGGCACTTAGATTAGCTGAAAAAGGAGCTGTTTCAGCTGCCTTAGATGTGGCTGAAAGTGCAGGACTATCAATAGATTTGCGGAGAGAACTGCAGGGCCGGCAACTTGTTAAACTTTTGACTGCAGATCCTCTCAGTGGTGGAGGTCCAGCAGAAGCTTCACGCTTTCTTTCTTCATTACGTGATTCAGATGATGCTCTGCCAGTTGCCATGGGTGCTATGCAGCTGTTGCCTAATTTGCGGTCAAAGCAACTTCTTGTACTTAACTTTTTACTCTGTCACCTTTTCTGGAAATCTGAGTTGAGCTTGGTTTAGAGTTTCAATTTCATGTTCGTCGAATGTTTTCGTTCTATGTTTTTTGAAGGTTCACTTCTTCCTGAAGCGAAGGGAAGGAAATCTCTCTGACGTTGAGGTTTCTAGGCTGAACTCATGGGCCTTAGGTCTTCGTGTGCTGGCTGCCTTGCCATTGCCTTGGCAGCAAAGATGTTCTTCCTTGCATGAATATCCTCACTTGATATTGGAGGTTTTGCTGATGAGGAAACAACTGCAATCTGCTCCACTGGTTAGAGAAACATCTTAGATGCTGTTTTATTAATTTTGCTCCATGTCGATTGCAATGCCCTTTTGATTTTTTCTCTGACATGCATGTAAAGATGTTTATATCATTTTATGTTCACTTTGGATGTTGCAGATTCTTAAAGAATTTCCTTCACTGAGAGACAATAGTGTAATTATTTCCTATGCGGCTAAAGCAATTGCTGTTAATATTAGTTCTCCCCCAAGAGAACACCGAGTATCTATTTCAGGAACAAGACCAAAGCAGAAAACAAGAACAGGTGCACCTGTGAGATCTTCCTTTTCTAGCAGTCTAAGCAACTTGCAAAAGGAGGCTCGTAGAGCATTCTCTTGGGGTCCACGAAATACTGGAGACAAGCCGGCCCCAAAAGATGTCTATAGGAAAAGAAAGAGTTCTGGATTGACCCCCTCTGAACGAGTTGCTTGGGAAGCAATGGCTGGCATTCAAGAGGAACATGTTTCGACAAGTTCTATTGATGGACAGGAGCGGCTTCCCAATATGTTGATTGCTGAAGAGTGGATGCTGACTGGTGATCCAATCAAGGATGATTCGGTCCGTGCATCTCACCGATATGAAAGTGCTCCTGACATTACTCTCTTCAAGGTACAAATAGTGGAACTAAGCTAATGTTTTTTAATTCGTAATTTCGATGCCAATTTCAGTCATAACAATGGACATGCAGCACACAGATTTATATATTGTTTAAGCATTCATTTTCACTCTTGATTCAACAGTAGTGCCTCTATTCTTTTTATGTTATGTTTCCATGTTTTTCATATAAATAGTTGTTAATGGCTCCATGATGTCGGGTTTCATATTTTTCTGTTCTAATTTAAAATAACAAGCTACAAAAAATCGATCCTCTAAGAATATGTTCCATTAATATGAAATCTTTTCTGGAGAATCCAATACTGCATACTGCATCTCAGGTTTATACATCAGTGCAATCAGTGGTTTCTGTATGTTATGATCATTGATGTTACTCTGGGTCTGCTAAAGCTTTGATTCTGCTGTTTCTAGGCTCTGCTTTCTCTGTGTTCTGATGAGAACGTATCTGCCAAGAATGCAATGGACTTGTGTGTTAATCAGATGAAGAATGTGTTAAACTCTCGACAATTGCCTGAGAATGCGTCAATGGAAGTAATTGGTCGTGCATATTATGCCACTGAAACATTTGTACAGGTATCCTTTTTTTATTTTTTATTTTTTATTTTTTAAGAGATTAAGCTAAAAACTAGAACCAAACACTTGTACATTATAAAGGTTCCCTTCCAATTCAAAGGATCAAAGAGGAGGGAGTATTGTTAAAGTGAAAACCTAGCTTATTCCAAGGATAAACTCTAATAGAAAGCCATGAATTGGCGTGCAATTATGAAATGTGGATTTCTCTTTTGTAAATGACATTGGATTACTATTCTTCATCACATATTTTCAGGGTCTTCTTTACGCTAAATCCTTGCTGAGAAAGGTTGTTGGAGTTAGTGATTTGTCGAGTAATTCAGAGAGAAGTAGAGATGCTGATGATGCATCTTCGGATGCTGGTAGTTCTAGCATGGGTAGTCAGTCCACAGATGAGCTATCAGAAAATTTGTCACAGGCAGACATCTGGCTAGGACGTGCTGAGCTACTTCAAAGTCTTCTAGGCTCAGGAATTGCTGTGTCTCTAGATGATATTGCTGATAAAGAGTCATCTGCCCGTCTCCGCGACAGGTTAATCGTGGATGAACGATACAGTATGGCTGTCTATACTTGCAAAAAGTGCAAGGTGAATTATACTTGAAACCAGTTGTAACTTGTAGTTGTTGCTGCTGAATTTTTCGCATTGCACTGAGCTATGAAATATTGGGTGCGTGCCAGATTGATGTTTTCCCTGTATGGAATGCGTGGGGCCATGCTTTGATTCAGATGGAGCACTATACACAAGCTCGTGTAAAGTTCAAGTATGCTAGAATTTTTATTTGCTTCAGATGTTTATAAGCTTATTTTCCAACACCCTACATAGATGTTGAAATTTAAGTTTCACAAAAATCTCCCTCCCTTACTCTTTTCCTCATTTTTTCTCGTGTACTGATGCTTAATGATATCTCATTATTTCCCATTCAATGGTTTTCAGACAAGCTCTTCAATTGTATAAGGGGGATCCTGGACCTGTCATTCTGGAGATCATAAATACAATTGAAGGAGGTCCTCCAGTGGATGTTTCAGCTGTTCGTTCTATGTATGATCTGTAGCTTTCAGTATATTTGCATATGTAATATGTTGGAATTCTTTTTAAGTTGTAAATATTGGTTGCAGACCAGGCTAGGTGTAAGCGGTTTCTCATTGTTTTGATGTTTTAATTTGTGCAATAAACTCCACCATAGCTGTATAGAATATGCATTTAAGTCACAATTTGGTATTGTCTTACATGCACGGCTGGAATTACGGCTGTTCCACAACTCTAGGGGCAACAATTTCTTTTTTTTATTCTGGATATGTAGTTGCTGAGGGGAATATGAACAGCATTATGCATGGCATATTGTGTTTGTGCATAACACTAGACCTAGTACACGTCTAATATTAATGCTGCTAATTGCATTTTACCATTAAGAAACTTGCAAAAGAAAAAAACTTGTAAAAGAAACTCACAAAAAACCAATGCTTTTTGTTGCATAGAATCTAAAACATGCAACCTATACTTCTACAGGTACGAGCACTTGGCTAAAAGTGCTCCAACAATCTTAGATGATTCTCTTTCTGCCGATTCATATCTCAATGTGTTGTACATGCCATCCACTTTTCCACGTTCTGAGAAATCAAGGCGGTCTCAAGAATCTGCCAATAGTAATTCCACATACAGTTCAGAGTTTGAAGATGGACCACGCAGCAATTTAGACAGCATTCGATATGTTGAGTGTGTAAACTATTTGCAAGAAGTAAGTGATAAATTCATGCTTACGTGCTTTTTATTTTTCAAGTTTGATTTCTTCTTTTTATTATTTATTTTTTTAGGTATCTTGATTTCAAGCAAAAAGAAAAGAAGTTGATATCTTGATACTGCTATGCCTTTTTCCCCTGTTCTGTTTTAGCTAGTGTACGTCATTTGTCTAGTATTCACTGTTTTTCATCGACATTCACTGGCAGACAAGTTGTGGAAATTATGTGTAAAGTCAGAAAGAACCTGCTCTACAGTAGAAAATTTTTGACTTTATGATATTTGTTTCCAACTGATAATTAGATGGGTGAAAAGTTATTACGGGTACCAGATTTGTTTATTAACATATTGCGAGCAACATTGTCACAGTCTTACGTCCTATGCAACATTTAATTCTTTTGTACAGCTTTGTTAATGTCAAGGTTCTTAGTATCCGAACTTCTGACATGTTTTTATTTGCAGTATGCACGACAACATTTGCTCAGCTTTATGTTTAGGCACGGACAATATAGCGATGCTTGCCTGTTGTTCTTTCCCCCAAATACTGTTCCTCCACCTCCTCAACCATCTACAGTAGGGGTGGCAACCTCATCTTCATCACCTCAAAGACCAGATCCTTTAGCAACTGATTATGGAACCATTGATGATTTGTGTGATCTGTGTGTTGGCTATGGTGCGATGCCTGTTCTAGAGGAAGTGATATCTGCAAGAATGTGCTCTATAGAACCTCAAGACGAAGCAGTGAACCAGTATACTGCTGCTGCACTTGCCCGAATTTGCATCTATTGTGAAACACATAAGCATTTCAATTTTCTATATAAATTTCAGGTGAAATTTTAACTTGTAGGCTTTAGAAGATAGTCATTTTTTAACTTTAGCACCTTTACTTTCTTGGTATTTTTGCTTGCACCTCAGTTAGCGTTCATTCTGCTTTTCTTTTTCTTTCTCCCTCTAAAAATCCTTTCAATGTGAGCACCTTAATTCTCATTAGTGTTCTAGATAAAATTACTAGATTTTCATGCTCGTTAGTTTTTTCTCCTTTTTATCTTTTTTTTTTTTTTTCTTTTGATGGGGAAAGAAAGTACCATAATTGCCCTTACTGGTGCTTAAAATTTTATTTTATTTTTTTTGCACTTATATTTTCTGGTTTTGTTTAACCAATCATTTCAGGAATTTTCTTCCTCCTATCCTCTTCTAAATAATATTTTTTTTCCATTAATAAGAGTTGCTTTGTTTCTTCAAAAAGCAAATAAATAAATAAATAAATGATCGGTTCAGGTTATCAAGAAAGACCATGTTGCTGCTGGACTTTGTTGCATTCAATTGTTTATAAATTCTGCTTTGCAAGAGGAAGCTATTAAGCATTTGGAACACGCCAAGGTATGTCATTTTAGACCTCTTCCATTCTAAAGTAGAGTGATCTTTGTTTGCTGAGGTAAAATAACTTTTAATTTTCCGGTTTAGTTTACTTTTGGTGTAGGGTCTGTTAGGTACCAATTTTCCTAAATATTAAGAGGTTGTTTTTTTACATTTTTGAGTTAGGGTGACTTGAGTGATAATCTTGAGTTGAAGTTGTAATTTGAGTTTGTGTTTGGATGTGCACATTTGAGTTATGATTTGAATTGAGAATCTTTTTGAGTTTGTGTTTGGGTAGGTCAAAACTTAAATTTGTATTTAGATAGTATTTTAATAAAAACTCAATGATGATGAAAAATTTTAATAGGGTATATGGGTGGGGTTTTATTCGTCTTTTCGTTGTGAATACATAGAAAAAAAATCATCTCAATCAGAATTAAAACGAAAAAGTTATGGCATTTTTCAGAATAGAAAAAATATTGTTCATTACCTTGAGTTCGAGTTTACGAACTCGAGTTGAAGGGGAAACTTGAACTCGAGTTTAGCCCCAAACTCGAGTTCAAACTCAAATTTTACAAAAGAACATGAACTTGAATAAAATTGTAACTCGAGTTCAAACTTTTTCTGAGTTTCGTTGCAAAAGAACAACCCCTAAGCTATTAGAAGCTGGACATTTGATATAATATTACCAACAGTTCCCCCTTTACGTGTGAACTTGATAATGGGCAACTTAAAAAGCATTGATTGGAGATACCCATACATGAGTATATTAGGGCCCGTTTGGAAGGTATATTCAAACCATGATTCTTGATTATGACGTTTAAAATTCAAATTTTTTATGAGAAAAACACTGTGGCAGAATCAATGATTTGAGTTTGAATATATGAAATAAACGGGTCCTTAATAATAAGTCCGAAATAAATTAAAGACCAAACACGCGATGGCAAATTGGAGCACAGATGTGGGGATTTGATTCATTTGAACTAAGAACCTCCTACTCTGGTACCATATTAATTAACGAAATACTTATAAAATATTTGGTTGTGCACATTTGTGTTTCTTGTGCCTGTTTGTGTCTCCATAGTTTTTAAGGTTTTAAGTTCTGAATTTCAATTGGAAGTTCTGTTTATACGTGTGTGTGTGTGTGTGTGTGTGTATTCTTTTTTCCCCTAAAAAGAGTTATTCATAAAGTATCTATCTTTTGGTTGTAGATGCACTTTGATGAAGGATTGTCAGCTCGTTATAAAGGCGAGTCTACTAAGCTTGTTACAAAGGGTGTTAGAGGAAAAAGTGCCTCTGAGAAGCTCACTGAAGAAGGGCTCGTGAAGTTCTCTGCCCGGGTTTCAATTCAGGTAATGGCATTAGTCAGTGTAGGTGCATATATGCCTTTGTGATACTTGCCTAACATTCTAATATACCTAACAAAAGTACACATGCTAGTATTGATGGTAAACAAAAATACACTTAAAATACATACTAAATTTACTTTCTAAATGATATATGGTGCAAGCTCTCACCACATGCTAGTGGGAAATTTTCTGTTTTATTTTACTGAAACTGGGCTCCGAAGTGGAAGCTTTGTTTACTTCCTGATCTCTCTGTTGTTGAATAAATATTGGCACAATACTGATTATTGAAGAAACTCATAGCTCAGCTATAAATATTTTATTTTAAAATGAGATCAAAAGATCCAAGTTTCATACTTATTTAATTGACTTTCTTTCTTTTCCACGCAATTTATAACATCTTCTAGTGGTTTTAACTGTTAATACATTGTTCACGCGGTTATGATATAGGTGGAAGTAGTGAAATCCTTTAATGATTCTGATGGACCACAGTGGCACTACTCGCTTTTTGGAAATCCAAATGACCCAGAAACGTTCAGGTTTGATGCCAGTTTAAAAAAGGATTTCATATTTTCTAGTGCTTGAAGTTTGTGAACTCTTGTATTGAATTCTCAAAGAAACTTTTTTGAGCTTGCATTTATACATCTTTATATCTTTTACATGAAGCACGTAAAGACTTCATATCTTTGTAAATATATATATATACATACATATATATATATATAGTTCAATGCCATTCTTATTGGATCTTATTGGATAAGTTAACACAATATCTTACTTATCACTCTTCCTTGTTATAAAGTGCCTCCAAAAGATTTTCGTATGGCCACACAAGAGACTGATATTCTATCTTTGTTCTTTTGCAGGAGAAGGTGTAAAATTGCAGAAACTCTCGTGGAAAAGAATTTTGACTTGGCTTTCCAAGTCATTTATGAATTCAACCTTCCTGGTAGCCAAACACACGATTTCATGTGCTGTACAGAGTCATATGTGCCAATTTATCGATGTTTCTGTTCTTATTTCTTAAATCCTGGTATGTCTCATTTATTGCAGCCGTCGATATATATGCTGGCGTAGCCGCATCACTTGCTGAGAGAAAAAGAGGCAGCCAATTGACAGAGTTCTTTAGAAACATAAAAGGGACCATTGATGATGACGATTGGGATCAGGTATATGACACTATTTGTTTTCAGCTTGGAATTTAATTGTTCAAATTTTGTATGCTTTTGGTTCAAGACCTTGTACGCTTATGAGAATGATGTGTATTCGCTCTTTGAACCTTGGATGTCAAAAATTTACTTGTATATATTTGCTTGTTTTAACGCACAATTCAGCTGAAGGAATTGTTGACTTTTGAATTATGTAGGTATTGGGAGCTGCAATAAACGTATATGCTAACAAACACAAAGAACGGCCTGATCGTCTCATAGACATGTTGACTAGTAGCCATAGGTAATGGTCTCTTATGCTGTTGGTTTCCATACGTAATTTGAGAGTTTCTGCTCGATAAATTGTCTATAAATTTATGTACATCATACATGTGTGCAAAAACGTTCACACTTTAATAATGCATTCCTATTTATGTATACATGTATACATATCTTCAGCAAAAAAAAAAAAAAAATGTATATATATCTTATAGACAACAGATGCATCATGCATGCACGTCTAAGTTATAATAGAGAGAAGACTGCCTTCTTATCTCGCATGCAACACTTGCATACTTTGAAGGAAGAGAGCTGCATGGAACCAATTTCAAAAGTTGGTGAAGATGCTGATTTTCTGTCATACAAAAAGGTTGACATAGTTAATACTATGTGTGTGTTTAAGAACCCGGGTTATGAATTTCAAACCAGGCTTGGAATTAAACTTTAATAAGAATCGGAAATAAACCACTTTTTTGAAGCATTGGAGTTAAAACCCTAACAAAGATGAGCGAGCTTGCTTCTCTTCTTCCTTCCCTAGTTAACTTGAACTACACTGAAGCTAGATTTGGTTTTCGTCTTCCTTTGTATGCAGGAAAGTTCTGGCGTGTGTGGTCTGTGGCCGTCTAAAAAGTGCATTCCAAATTGCTTCTCGCAGTGGAAGTGTAGCTGATGTTCAATACGTAGCTCATCAGGTCTTCCTTCTTAATTGAGTGTTCACCTTTCTACTTACTCAGCAATACTTGGATTGACAATAAATTTAGTGGGGTCCTTTTGTAGCTGGTGATTTTGGGTGCTTAATGACGGAATTATGTCCTATATAAAAAGGCTCGATGGCAAAGTGCTTTAGCTTGAGAGGGTAATAAACGGAAAGATAATACTGGGAACCCAGAATATTTGGAGAATAGCACAGAGGTCAATATGCTTGCCAAGGGGAAAATCCTTGAGAGATGATGTCAAGAGCCTTATTGTATTTTTTCATGTTGGTTTTTGTGTCTCTGTGCGTGTTTATTTTGCTCTTTTGATTAGAAAAGGGGACTTCATAGCCTATAGAAGTCTGGAATGTGTGTGGCTGCGACTGGTGAGTTGCAGGCCAGAGCGCCTGATTTGCTTAGGACCAATTAGCTTTACCAAATGAGTTATGAAATGCTGCGTTAGAAAGATGGTTGAATTCCTCGGTTAAGTTTCGAAGGGAAAGGTCGCCTTACTGTTAGAGGATCATGCTTCTGAGTTAGTGAAGTCCTAGTCACAAGCGGTCAACTTCCAACTAGAGGCCCACAAATCATATTTTAGTGATACGGGCCTCATTAAAGCTGGCATATTTCAAGCATTTGTCCGTTAATGTCACTTCTAGTCTTTAGTGGGAGGAAACTAATTTTATTCTTTTGTAATTATTCTTTTACTTAACCCATTGTTTGTGATTTTGATGCAGGCATTACATGCAAATGCGCTCCCTGTACTTGATATGTGTAAACAATGGTTGGCCCAATACATGTGATTCATCGCTCAACAAAGCTACGGCTACTGCAAATTAATCTTCTCAAAATGTACATATTCCCGGTAATTTTTTTCTCCGACTCGGATGTTTGGGAGCCATGGATCTTAATCAGAGCATGGTACAAGCATATGTACCTAGTTATGAATAGAGCAGCTCTTCCACCGAGCTTGGAAAAGGAAGGCGAGTCATCTTTTTGCTTTTGTTAGCACTGTTTCGGATATCTGGAATTGTTTAAGCTACTTCGAAGGTGAACATCTCGAGACTGAACAATCCATGCCGGCTTAACTCGGAGTTGGAGTCTGAATTTCAGACTGTCAAGGTGCCAGAGTAACGTGTAATGCGGAAACTGCATGGATGCAAGGAATAACGGTACCATAACGGAGTATGAGTAACGTCTCAATGATTTGTTTTGTCCACATTTAAACAAAATTTTGTCAATGATCAAAATTTTAATGAATACTACATTGGGTTTCAGTGAGAAAAAAAAAAAAAAAAAAAAAAAAAAAAAAAAAAAAAAAAAAAGCAGAAGAAGCTAAGATGGGTCGTGTTAGATTTAGTGTTTGCGGATGTAGATAGATGTTAATGGAAAAATGGAAAGGCAAGAGTAGGCGTGAGATCAAATGTGTGTAATTTGTGCAAGAATGAGCGCATGTTTTCACCTGTAAATGTATTTGGCTTAATTTTTCCCTGTAAATTTATGTATCCAAATACAGTTGCTTTTTGAATAAATGTTGAGCTTTTATATGAGAATATTCCTTATTTCGTGATCTAAAAATTGATATGTTCATGCATCTATACTTCTATATCTATCTATGTCTACATCTGTACTCTATATATATACTACATATATAAAGCGGAGTTCCCTTTTCCTTTCAAAAACATTGTCACAGTATTTTGTCGTTTTGCTCGTTTTTGCTTTCCTTTTTTTTCCCCCCTCTTATCCGTGCTTTGTTGTTTAAGCCGAGTTTCCTAATCGTTTTGCTCTTTTTATTTTACTTAAAAAAAATATTTGTTTCTGTTTGTTTCCTCAAAAGTTCTATATTTCATTTCATTTATTTGTGTGCGATCCATTAAATGTTTAAATATATTTTCTTACAATCTCTTAAAAGTATTATTTATTAAATATATGGTCTCCATAATTTTTTTTTTCGTAAATGCTTACTGAAATGTGTTTTCTCAAATTATCCCATTTTACATATTTTTTTTCTTTTCATATATGCATCCTAAATCAGTTTTTTATTTTATTCTATTATTATTTTTTCTTAAGTACGCTCGATTGATCTATAGTGGTATAATATTCGAGCGGAATACATATTTTGATTAAAAGTATGTTTTGGTATAATATATTTTATTAAAATTTTATATTTAAAATATTCCTTGTTAAAAAAAATCACTCTAATATGTCCTATTGAAGTAACTTTACTCGAATGTTCCTCGTATTTAAAAATTTTAATGCAGTCTTAAAAATAATTTTAAATACTACGTTTCTATCTTTTATGATATAATATAAATAGTCTGTTATGCACTTATAAAAGGATATAACATAAGTAACTTCCTTACATGTCATAATTTGGAAAATGTTCAGATTTCATTTACTGTTCTACATTAAATAATTGAGATCGTCTTAAATATTAATTAACTAAAAAGCGAAAGGTAATCTCTTTATTTTTAAAATTTCATCCGGTCAAAGGGGTATCATCCTTCAAACAATTTTCAATAACATGCCACATACTTTTTATATTGAGAAAAGAAGATAAATACGTTTTAAAGTGCATGAGTTTAGATTTTTACTCTTATTCTTGATTAATATCTTTTTAGTCAAATAATTATATTAGTCAAAATGATATTAATTAAGAGTAAATGGTAAAAATCAAGAGGGTAAGTTCAATAATTCTCTCTTTTATTAATATTTAAATGATATGAGGGAATAAACATGGGATTTTAAAGGAATATGGGATATCAGAGAGATTCCAAAGAATTTTTTTTTTTCTCAATTCAATCTTTGTTTTAGATCTAAGTTTTTCTTATTGGGTTAATCTTGATAAATACCATTTAAAAGTGTATGGGTTAAGATTTTTAATTCATTACTTTTTTAGTCAAATACTTACACTAACAAAAGGGTATTTATCAAGAGTAACGAGTAAAGTTTCAGACTTATGCACTCTTACAGATAAATTCTTCATTTTTTCAAATCATTTTACCTTGATTTATTTTCTAAATTCTAATCACCATCTATTTACTTTACTCCTGTCCTACTTTATTTCTCAACGCTTATTCTCACACATTTTTCTATTGGTTATATTCTAAAAAATTGTGAAAAGAGTACAATTTTAGAAAATCATCGTGATGACTAATCTTATACAAGAATAGGTAGGGAACGTTTTCATATATTATTTTTAAGATTAATTGGTTACACAATTCTATTAGAATCTAAAACAGATAAATTAAGAAAAAAGAACTATTTAATAATTTATTGGTATATAAAAAGTCAACAAACTAAATGAGCATTAAGCACCAACTATCACAATAAGAGCCAAAATAGGGTACTCTAACTTGAAGACAAGGAAAAAAAAATACATGGGTTTTATTTCTAACCATAAAAATTAAAAGAAGAGTAATCTTGATAAATATCCTTTAAAAGTGTGTAGGTCAGAGTTTTATTATTTACTCTTAATTCATAATATTTTTAGTCGAATAATTACACTAAAGAAAGGGTATTTATAAAGAGTAAGAAATAAAAGTCTAACTTATGTACTTTAAGGATAAATTCTCCATTTTTTTCTTAAAAGATAATGCAAATAAAAACTAAAATAAACAAATTACAACTTGATTTTGGACATGCACATAGATTTCACATTCATAGAAGCAACTAAAAAGGAGATATCACAAGTGCTAAAAGTCGTGGCCCGCAGCTTCACAAACTCGAATAATAAACTAACTTTGCCATGCAGTGCAGCCGTCGCAGTCAAGTTCAAGCTTCCCTTACCAACATCATCGAAGAAAATCAGATTCGCGACTATTCTTCCCACCATAAGATCGGTAGAACTAGTGATGTTAAGCTTGCCCCGTGCAGGGACAAGATTTTGCCCTATTGGAACCTCAGCCACAACGTCACCGTGATAATTCACGTAAGCCGTCGCGTTACTGAACTTGAAGCTTCCGATGTTATGGTCATGTTTAATGTGACATTGTTGATGGTTAACAATAAAAACGGGTTCATATTTTCTAGACCAACGAGGTAGGCTGTGATTTCCGGCTCTTTGGGTTTGAGGGTAGTAAACCATAAGGTTACGAATACCACAGCCACAATGATGAAGAAAGTTGCGGTTACTTCACAACAAATTTTGACGCCTTTCCGTGCTGATTTCATGTTTGATGAAAAGTGTAAATTGGGAAGAATCAAATACAAGCTTTGAGAACTAAAAGACTACAGAGAGCAACAAAAAGAAAGTTTACTAAACGTGGGATATTTGCTGCAGCCATCGATACACACACTATGTATATATACGTCAGCTCAGCCGACTTTTTTTTTTAGTTTGTATAGTATTCGGACTCCTTGTGAGGATTTGAGTCCTTTTTTGTGTGTATTTTTTTTAATAATTTATTTTTCTCATATTATTTATTGTCACGTTGCATGATCTTTTTCCTTCTATTTCCTTATTATCTCCAAGTAAGCAGCTCATTTAATTATATTGTCTTCCGGATATTGAGATGACTCCGTTAGATTTCCTCAATTTTTTATTTTTTGTTTTCTTTATGGAATAGATTTCCTCAATTTTTTATTTTTTGTTTTCTTTATGGAATAGATTTCCTCAAATTTATTGACCTTACTCTCAGATTCCAAAGTTTTTCTTGAGATGCAAATATCGTAATAAACTATAAATTATAATCTTTAATCTGTAATATTTGATATTTAATTTTAACTTTTTGTGAGTAAGAAAAAGAAACTCTTGGTCTCAAAAACAGAAAGTGGTTTTTTTAAAATATCCTCTTCACATATCTAAAAGAACCAAAATCTCTTTCCC